GGACGTATTTTTGCGCAGAACTTTCCTCTGCGTAGGCGGCTTTCAGCTGCGCTTAGGGATTAAAACCCTTACTAAGTAGAAGTAAATAATTCATATTAGAAAAAACGAAATGATCCATATGCACACTTTCGTTAGAAAACCGAAATAATGCATATAACAAAAACCGAAATAATGCATATGTGAAAGACGAAGGTATGCATACATGCACAGTTTCGGTTGAAAACCGAAATAATGCATATAACAAAAACCGAAATAATGCATGCATGCACAGTTTCGGTTGAAAACCGAAATAATGCATATGAAAAACCCGAAGTAATGCATACATGCACAGTTTCGGTTGAAAACCGAAATAATGCATATGAGAAAATACCGAAATTATGCATATGCATACTTTCGTTTTAAAAGCGAAATAATGCATATGAAAAAAAAAAACGAAGTAATGCATACATGCACAGTTTCGGTTTAAAACCGAAATAATGCATATGGTAAAAACCGAGATAAAGCATACATGCACAGTTTCGGTTGAAACCGAAATAATGTCTAAATGCACAGTTTCCATATGCGCAATTTCGGTGCCCCGCTGCAAGTACATACTTATTGAAAAAGTTATTGAATGTACCTATGTTTTGCGCCCAGTGGCGTGGATAATTAGCGCGATGCAGAAAATGAAGGTAGCGGCATTATCGGACCGCTAACAATCTTATAGTCGACAGCATCCTCGGATTCGCTGACGTCACACAATACTTTTATGTTTACATTCATTGTTGATAACTTCGTACTTTTCATCGAAATGCTTTTTGGAATATCGAATCTGATTTGAGAAGAGGATATATAGGCCTTTAAAATGGTAAATAATAATCTTTTGTCGGACGTGGCTTGTTGGGATTTTTTTCTCTTATTTTTTTAAATTTTGACCAAAATTTCAACAATATCAAAATATGTAGCATTATCTAAAATTAAATCTATTTTTAAATAAACTGGTAGTTCATTTATTGCAATCGCATAAATTGTCGAAGTTAGGCGACTTTTCTTAAATAATGCCTTGAATTTATATTGTGTATATACCGCAGTTGGCTAAGGAATTCATCAATATTTATTCAAAATTGATATATACAATCGCACTTTAGCAAAAAACAGGTTTTTCTAAAAAAGTTTGGAAATGAGTAGTCCACTTGCAAAGTGCTCTATTTAAATGTTTTTCGATTTTTTGTTTTTGGTGGGTAACGTACAGTATTTAAAGTAGTTTCATGTCCACTAACAATTCTGTGCAAAATCTTTCTATATTCTGTTAAGTACTCTTGCAAAAGTCGCTCTAATACTTATGTATGTATTTATACACTTTCATAAGTCTCCATCTTCTGATGAACTTAGAAAACTGCAAGAAAACATGGTAGTTTCGATGCCTAGCGGAAGACGTCTTAAAAACGAAGCGGACCACCCTTCGTGGAAAAGAGAACGCGAAAAGTTAAAAAAAGCTAGCAATGTAAAGGTCATCGTACAGTTCCATAAGTAAAGTAACTCTTCTTCTTACCGTTTTTTCTGGCAGGCTGTAGGTGTGTTTTTGGCAGGCTGTAGGTGTGTTTTTGGTTATTGTATTGGTGTTTTTGGTTCAGTGTGTTAGTGTATTTTGAATAAATTGTAATAGAAATAAATGAAATTGTAATAGAAATGAAAGAAATTGTAAAAGATAAGAGCACATGCCAAAAAACAGGTGATCTCAGCTGTAGGCATATTTTGGCAATCAGCTGATAGTGTTTTTACTTATGAAACTGTACGATGGTAAAGGTTACTGTTTCAAAACTCGCTATATTAAATTATTATATATGAAATTTTCAAAAGCTACCGCATTGCGATTTGTTTTTTAATGTTATTAAGCTCTTATTTATTCAAATTTTGAGATATGTAATAAAAAGAAATATTCAATTTGGATGTAGAGTTGACAACTCATATATGGGTATCTCAAAAACTACTCGACCGATCTCGGCCAAATTTGGTACACATATTGCTTTCATTTGTGTCCACTTCAGTACCTTCCGAAAACTTTTTTCGAAAGCTTCTCAAAAGAACAAAAAAACTGAAATTTGTAGCTATTTAAATCAATAAATACATTTCACGGTGAGTTAATACTTAAACATTTATCGAAGCTCCGATTGTTTTATTTTCTTGTGATATATTTTTAATTAAAAGAAACTGTTGACATTTTTATTCGATGCATCGAAAATATCGATGTTCGATATATCGCTATATTTCGATGCATCAAATGGAAAAAAACATCAATGTATTTTTTGACTTGCATCCCAAAGATGAATACTTGTTTCTGTTGTGGTGGTGGAAATGCACGCTAACAATAGGTAAACTACAGTTTCTTCTGATTGAACCATTTATTTACGATTTTTATTACATTTTCGTTTGCGTGTATGCTCTTGTGTATGCCATTTAAAACACCATCGAGATTTATAAAAAGATTGTGCGTGCAAAGTTTTGTTTGAAAAGCAAATTACATACATATGTAGATATGTATGTATTTATAACACTTGTAAGAACTAATTGCGGGTTATCACTTCCCACAGACCCAGTGAGAGGGTTTACGGCATTTAAAAACGAGGTTTAAATGTCGCTGGATACTGCTGGAAGCGAGGCCGAAGTACAGTATTTCCACTTTTATCATACTCTTTTCCGGTTTGCCCGAGAATTACTCCATCGCCACCCTTTCCATCTTTTCCACCCGAATTTGCTTCAATTACATCAACAATACGTGGGTTCTTACGGTACTTGTACCACCAGTATTCAAACACAAGTGTAATGCAGGCCATTCCGATTCCGACAAAGATAACTATAAAAACGCCGCCAATATTATGTATAGATATACCGTCGGACTGATCCTCAGGCTTATCACATTTAGCTTGGGTTTCATCGTTTTTCCACCATTTTTCCTTTAGTTTTTCCAGCTGTCGCTTGTTGAGTAGAGTTAAAATTCTATTTAAAGGGTAAACATACATGTGTATTCTGTAGTATTCGTATATTAGCTTTTACATATATATGTACCTCATTTACTAAAAAACTGTTACAATTCAATAAACGGGATTTTTAGGAGACGTGTTTTAAGTTTCTAATTTTTTCTGTATTACTCGTATATAATCAAGTATTTACTTTTACATAGACTGCTTTTACACAGTTCAAGTATTGAGTTCAATTCTGCTCGCATGTGGAAGAGAGGGGGTGAGAGGAAAAGGGACGAGTACACATGCGTCTGTACCGTCAAGTCGTTTCAACTTTCTTGCTTTGCTTTTGGCATTTTCGTTGCTTCCCATTTAAAGAACCACAGACTTGAATTCAACAGAATTGAAACGTGTAAAAGCAAATAAACAACACAAAAGAGAATGAGCAAGAATTGCTTTCAAGTACTTGAATCATGTAAATCAGGTGATACATCTATACCTCATTCACTACAAAACTGTTACAATTCAATAAACTCTCGAAATGCACACCACAGATGCACATATTCCCTTCATAACCGGAAACATTGTGTACAAATACAAGTGAGATATCTTAGCAATAGACGTCATCCTGGGCCACAGCTGCGATCATCTGTTTTTTAGAGTTGCTTATCTTGGTCTAAACTGCTCTTTTTGACCTGAGTTGCATTAAATAGTCTCTTCAAACTTGGTAGTATTTGTTGTTCAAATGGTAACATATATGCCCAAAAACTTGAAAAATATGATTGCTTTTTAAAAATGCTATTTACAAAATTTCGTTTTGATTGCGACATTAGAAATATTCAGATTATAAAAGTTTTTCACATATGTTTTAAGATTTTAAAGCTTTTTAAAAATACGGTAGAATGCAACAATGTGCTTGAATTTGTTTGCATCTTCGTCAGCTTATTCGTTTGCAGACTAGAAAAATGGCGAACGTTCACCGTGGGAAGAGGTATGGGACGACAGCTGGCATGGCATCTAGACGGTAATCTGGTGGCTTTAGCATTAAGTTGTAACCGCTTTAAGATATTTGACATAGCTGAAGGCGAGCTAATACAGTGCATTCGTCGCCGGGGAATGATGTTGCATTTCACCCAAGTGGAAATTTCTTGGTGACTGGCGGCGATGACGATACAATAAGATTGCTTGATTTATTAGAAGGTCGACCAATTTATACACGGTAGTAGTGCACTTTAGCGGAACCACATAATATATATTTTTTCCTGTATTCAACAGTTGCTCGCTTGGAAATCTAATTTGCATACATTTGATGCCAATAGCTCTCGCAACAAACAAGCCAGCTCTCAAAGAGTCCAAATTGATTTTAGTCATGCAACAGCTCCACATAACTCCGACATAGACACACACACCAGTTGCTGCAGTACCAAAAAGCTGTGATGACAGTATTTTAATTGATCCACGACAATCGGTGGCATATGGAATGCGAGATGGAAATTTTCTGGTGCTTGATAGCCAATAAACTACAAGAGTGAAACGCTGTGATGTAATTTTTCTTAAATTTCCATCTTTTATTTGCATTTACATTAAGAAGCTCATAGAGGACAGAGCTGTTGGTGAGGAAGGTGTCGAGTTACTGCAGTACTGCAACTGTGAAAATCCGCATTTCGCACGTGCCCCACTCATATGGAATAGCTTATGTCAAAAGGCTGATTTTAGTATAATGCGGCATTCGCAGCATACCCTCACTGGCGCCGAGCCGTTGAAGAAATTTTGGCAAATAAACGTGCAAGAAATAGTTCCGATACTAGCACGCCCATATTCTTGTTAAGGGTCATCAAAAAATTCCTTGTGTTGTAAATAATAAAGCCAGCTTCCCGACATAAACTACTATTCCATACGAACACAGAAATATAAATGTATCTAAAACTGAATAACTCAAATCAAATTGGATTGCATTTCCATAATATACCTAATATTGGAATCTGTTTTGATCGTACAACTTGCAATCATTTAGATTATAGTTTTGAAAGAAATTGATAGCAATCGTAAATTGTGTAAAAATTGTTAATAGCAATCTGCCTTAAATTTATGATCCCCATGTAACGGATATAAAATACGTTAAATCCGCACTATCTGCATTAACAAAAAATATACATTGGAATATTTAAAATAAAACGATTCATATTTATTTTCTAATAAGAATTGTTTCTTAATTGAAAGTATTTAATACTAACATAATGTAGTGGTTAATGTTTAAAAATGAATTCGCAATATGTCCGCAGCTCAGGTTGATTTGAAGAAATCCGTTTAAATTTTTCGAATTACATCTACTTGAATATAGGATAGGCAGGGTTGCATACAAATGGTAGTTCCGTAAATATTTAAAATATGTTAGTTCATTCAATATTTACATCTGGGCCAATAAATAATAACAAATATAGCCGAAAAAACAAAGTTTCGATTAAAACGAGTTTTTATAACCCCCCATAAAATTTCGATTAATTTAAAATACGAAAATAACGATATTTTTTCATGGAGAGGTATTTTTTTAATATACCTTGTTTATACCTACACAAGAACCGTATTAGCAAAAAACCGATTGGACTCAACATATATTTCTTTACAGCATTTATACCCGTGTCTTTATACCGCACTCGATAAAGTCTTATTCAAAAGTAAACAAAATCTGCTATTTTTAAACGAAATTTTTTTAATAAATAATTTGCGCGGTTGACCGAAATGGAAACAAACAATAATTGTAATTTATTATAACAATAATTCGAATTTAAAACGGGTTGTATAAAGAAAACCAGCCTATTGTCACTTCACTTTCCAATGATGCTGATTGCTGCAAGAATTATTTAGCGATTTAGAGCATAATCAACACAATATATGCACATAAATATGTATTATTTCACAGATCTCACGGCCAGCTTAGAAATACGTCACCAAAATTATATAAAATTTAAGTAGGAATTATTTTTATTTATAACGTAAAGGCCCTATCTGACCCATTCTGATAAGTATATTTCCCCTAAAGTTAACCCATTTTATTTAATTTGTCTCTCGTGAAAATATATATATTTTTGTTTAAATTTTCAGATATGTACATATATTTTAAATTTTTGCTTTAATTTTTGTATCCTTTTAATATTTAATTAGATACCTTTAGATTAAAATAAGCTTAAAACGAAACAGCACAGCAACCCTTTTCTGTTCATCTTGAGAACACAAAACCCTCTTTTGTTAAAATTCGGCGCTGCACAAAATCCTGGCGTTTATATTTTCCAACAAAATACCACTTCGCAACCCTGGATTTTCACGAAGCGTTTCATTCGGGTCGTAGTTTTGCAACTTCGGGCCATTCGGTGTTGTATGCCATATTGGCTGCCATATTGTTCACACTGTCATCGCCATATTGAACACCCTGTCAACTATCTGTCAACCCTAAGATATCTCACTTGTATTCTTCCACAATGACCGGAAATTATACAAGATTTTAACATCACATTTCCATTCTTTCAGTTGTGATTCTTTAGTTCTAAATACCAAGAGAGTGCTGGAATTTCTAGCTCATTTATGGTTTTATTCAAATTGATGTGGGAAAATATTCTTCCCACATTTGCTGCTGTGACGACTGGAATACAAACGACAGCCGAAAACATTTGATTCAAATGAGGAAACGCGTTTTCTTATTTTCTTAAAATTTTACTTACAAAAAAGTGAAAGAAAACTTTTAATTTATTCGTTGAAGTCGGAAAAAACTGTAATATGTACTATTTAGTAGAGTTGTCAAACTATCGATAGTGCCACCATCGATAGTTTCCATGTTTCAGAAAAAAACTATCATTACTCGTTGATAGTTTCCAGCAATACTATCGATAGTGCCAAACGCTACCATCGATAGTACTATCGATAGTCAATGTAATGTTAAAAACGGTTCCAAATTAACAGGGACGGCATCGAAAAACAAAAAAACAAAATATTGAAAATATAAACACACGTAGCACAGTGCCGCCTAAGTGGGCATAAATCGAAAAATTCGTTATCTGCAATGTGAGCTTGTTTGGTATTTCTGTAAAGACAATTTATCCACTAAAAAGAATTAGATAGACATTTCCCTAAAAAAAATAGTTATATGCCACCAGGAAGCCACTAAAGTCGACAAATTTTATACTAAGAATTTTAATAAAAGCATAGCCAGGCGTAAGCTCTTCACAGAAAAAAATGTCAAAAATATATTCTTTGAAATAAAATGTTGGTTTGACGTTTCTTGTTTCCATATAGATAGTAGAGAATTACAGGAATTAAAATTATGGAATAAAATTAAGCACAGGGTGTCCCTGCGGTGTTCCAAAAAAACATTTTTTTTAAACAAAATTTCAAAAAATTTTAATGGAATGAATAAAAAATATGTGTAAAAATAGGTTATTTTTTATTATTTTATTAAATAGTACGGGCTTTTATCTTTCAAAAGAAGAAATAAAAACCTGCTAATTTTTTGCACTTTCTGAAGTAATGCGTTTTTCGCTAATGCATAAAATAAGTTTTTCATTTTTTGTCAGTGCTTTGAGATCTGCACGGTTCGTTCCATTTTCAAAAATGAAGTGTCAGATTAAAAATCTTAACCTGTGGACAATAGAAGGTTTATTTTTTTTAAAGAGTTGCCACCTGTTAAAAAATTAGATTGTTAAAAAATTAAATTCAAATTTGTTTATAAGTTAAATGAATTATTAAGAGATGGGTATCAATCGAAATCTGTATTAACTACATGTATAGAGTTGCCACCTGTTTAAAAAAATCCAATTCCACTTGAATTAAAGGAATTAGGTAATTGAAATGGATAGCTATCACCATAAGGGAGTCAGACGAAAGAGGTTTAAGAAGGTTTTAGCTTAAAAATATTACGAATAGGGTTACCACCTGTTTGTAAAGTCGAATTTAGTTAAAATAAAATAATAATTACGTCAAACCATAGGATTACGCCATCGTGTTTGTTGTTTTAGTACAAATACATACATTGCAAATCAGTGATTTGTTCTGATTACATTTCTTTCAAATTACTGGACTCTTAAATTAACTCAGGAATGTTTTTACTCTCCACTTATTTCTTGCTAAATATGTCAAATTTTTTCATTTGTCTTATACTCATATTCAGTTACCTTATTCCCTTAATTAAAGTGAATTTGATTTTTTAAACATGTGGCAACCCTTCTACGTGTCATTTAGAGGTAAAGTATTTTCAAAAGTAGTTCAATTGATACCCATATTGTAATATCTAATTCATTTAACTTATTAAATAATTTTAATAAAATTTGTAACAGGTGGCAACCCTTTTTAAAAATAAATAACTTTATTACACATCTACAGGCCAAGCGCTGTCATTTCACACCTCACTTTGGAAAATAGAACGAACTATGTATATGTACATACCTATGTAAAAGCCACAAGAACCCAAATTTTCAACTTCAAACTGCATTTACAGTGAAAGTATGGAAGTTATCTAAAAACCAATTGCATTTTTGAATTTAGCGTCCTCAATTTTACTAAGAAGCGAATGTTCATTTCATATGGAAGGGAAGCACTGTGCGTAGGGCCGTTTTCTTAAGTAACTTTTAACTTTAAAATTCACTTTATGTTTAAATATTGCTTTAACATGTATAGTTCTGTCTAAGAAATTAAAGCTAGAAGTCTCGACTACTATCCCTGAAAATACCATCCCTACACCATGACCTGATGGTCACTTATAGTCATTTATTGAACAGCAAAACCTGATTTTGTGCGCAGTTTGAGTACCCACCGCAATTAAACAACAGGGGATAGAGCCTTCCACTTGGGCTGAAATTAAGGCTTCAACTTTCGACTACAATCGCTTAAAATACCATCCCTGAACCTTAACCCTAAGGTCACTTATAGTTATTTATTTAACAGCAAAAAGTGGTTTTGGCAAAACTTATTTATTTTTTTTCAATAGAACAGTATTTATTCCATTATTTTTATACCCGAGCGCACTTGTGCACAAGGGTATTATAACTTTGTTCACATAACGGTTGTTTGTAACAGGCAAAACGAATCGAGATTGATATAGACAAATGTATACATAAATGATCAGAATGAAAAGAGAAATCGATTAAGCGGTGACTGTCTGTCCGTCCGTCCGTCCGTCCGTCTGTGCACACGATAACTCGTGTAAAAATTGAGATATCTTAACGAAACTTGGTACGTGAACTTCTTTTGGGCGTGGGACAGATGGTATTGAAAATGGGCGAAATCGGATAATAACCACGCCTACCTCCCATATAACGGTAATTTTAAGAAATACGAAAACTGCGATATTTTAGTAACTACTGAAGCTAATTCACTCAAAATTGATACTTACAATGAGTTTCAGACGGAAAACATGAATATTATAAATTTTTGGAAAATGGGCGTAGCCACGCCCACTTATGGTTACATGTGTATATCTTGGTAACCGCTGCACCAATTTCTTCCAAACTTAGCACAGTTGTTGGCCTTAGTACAGCTTACTAAATGGCTGAAAATTTTAAAAATCGGACAATAACCACGCCTACCTCCCATATAACGGTAATTTTCAGAAAAACGAAAACTGCGATATTTTAGTAACTACTGAAGATAATTCACTCAAAATTGAGTGAATGAGTTTTAGACGAAAAATAAGAATATTACAAAATTTTGGCAAATGGGCGTAGCCACGCCCACTTATGGTTACATGTGTATATCTTGGTAACCGCTACACAAATTTCTTCCAAACTTGGCACAGTTGTTGGTCCTGATACAGCATACCAACTGGCCGAAAATTTCTAAAATCGGACAATAACCACGCCCACATCCCATATAACGGTAATTTCGAGAAATACAAAATCTTCGATAAATCAGTAAATATTGAAGCTAATTTATTCAAAATTGATGATTGCAACAATTCTTTACCAAGAAATACGTTTATGACAAAATTTTGGAAAATGGGCGTAGCACCGCCCACTTGTGATCACATATATGTATCTCGCTAACCGTTCTAGCAATTTGTACCAAGCTCGGTATGGTTATTGTGCTTGCCACATAAAAGTAAACCGTTGAAAATTGTTGAAATCGGACTAAAATTGAGGCCGCTTTTCATATAACGGTAAATTTCAGATATGCTTGAAACTGCAATATTTCGAAATTTAAGGACGCTAATTTACTTAAAATGTATACACCCCGGCTTATCATGTAGCGGTAGCTTTCGGAAAGGTGGAAAACATATATTTAATACTTGCGCCGGGTATTTAATGTTCGGCTCCGCCCGAACTTAGACTTTCTTACTTGTTATATTGTTCAATAAATGATTTTTAGTGACCATCAGGTCAAGGTGCAGGGATAGTAGCCGAGAGTTGTAGCTTTATTTTAAGCCCCAGTTAAAGGTTCTATTACCTTTTGTTTTTTGTGATAGACCTTCTAAGATTTTGCAAAAAAACGCGATGTTTTGACCCTTTGACCTCGTTTTTCTCAAAATCTGGAGCTGATGGAAACTTTATGCTTACGGACTCGTAATCAGCATAAGAAAGTCTATCAAAAACAGCTTTATCATTTGCCGCAACAAAATCACTGTTGCCTTGTTTAATTGTTGCTTATTATAAATTTTCAAATATGATATATTTTGTTTAAATTTCGTAATATAATTTTTTGATTTGTTTACAACCAAGAAACATACAAACGTCAAACACCGATAATAGAAATGCTTTACTTCAGACATAGCCTTATGGTTTGAAGCAACGTTTAAATATAAAGGGAGCTTTTCAATTAAAGGTTGCTTGAGAAAACGGCCATTAAAGGAGGAATCACAATGAAAGTATCACTTATAATAAAAACATGACAAACTTAAAAAACTGACGCGCAGCTACATGGAGACATTATAAATAAAATCGGCTGTGCTAGAGGTTTTAAACTATCGATAGTCAACTAGTACTATCGATAGTTTAACCTTTTTTGAGAAAAACTATCACTACTCATCGATAGGGGCAAAAAAATAAAACTATCGATATATCGATAGTACCATCGATAGTTTGACACCTCTACTATTTAGGTGGAAATTTAAACAACTGTAAGCTTGTCTAAAAAACTGTATTTTACAGTTTAAATTGTGAATCTGGCATTATTATAGTCTTTTAGTAAATAAGATATGCATATGTACTTATATACATATGTATATAAGATAGTTCATAAAATACGTCACTTACGCATTGTTGAATTGGTCCTTTAGATGGGAACCTTGTTGAACTGCGATGGCATAAGGTTTGCGTGAAAACTCTTCGCCCACAATTTGGAGATCGCAATTTGTCATAACCAGATATCGAATATCTGTAGCATCACCGAGAAAGGCGAAACCCGTAGCTGATGTAGAACTTCGAACTCGTTCTACCGCCTCTTCCAGGGTTGCTGGCAATTGTGCTTCTTGCATAGCTTGCCACATTTTGGTATATTTATCGCTAACTGGGTAATCCCAGACTGCAAGCTTCGAGCGCTCCAGTGGTGAAAGTGAATCGTTCAAAGATAAGTCTTTCCATATTTCATAGAAACGTTGCTCAATATTTGCCATGCGCTGAAAATATGTCATTGCTGAAGAACCGTTTATCGGTGCATATAAAATTTTGTATTGCTTGGCAAGGTCATCCAGAGACTCCACAGGTGTGTCGAGACGTGATACAGTCAAAAAAGCAGCCAAGTTAGCCGTGTAAGAAGCGATTATAATGAAGCTTTTTGTTTTGAAAATTAATCAGTTCGTGCAACGGGTGTTTAAAAAATTATAATAGATTTATTTATATATTAAGTCTAATACACATACGTACCCGAAAAGCCACCATGTTGCTGCCACTAAACGGCCAGAAAGGTTTTTCGGCGCCTCGCCGCCTCCTTGTGGTGTCAGTGATGTCATGCAAAACCAAAGACATTCCTTTAGGTTAAATTCTCGTTTCTCGTCATCATCTTTATATTTTTCACGATTGTTCTGATAACTGTAAGGACTCCATCGGTCGAAGATCCACATTAAAAAACTAGTGAAGAAGTAAGCAGCCAAAATACATAGCCAAACGTTCGTCTCAAGCACCGTCAGGAACTTGAATAAGGAACTTGGGACTTGTGGCCTCTGCATCATGATGGTAATGCCTACCAAATCGTAGTAGGGTACCGTAAAATCAATAACTATTTCACGCTCAGCCATTACATGCATAGAGCCCAATCCAATATCCGCTTGTTTATCCATCAATTTTTTCACAATTCCATTCCATTCTCCCTTCTCATCCATATTGCCAAATTTTCCGTCTTCAACCTCCTGGATGGTGTAGTCAAAATGTACAATATCAGCGATCTCGTTTATTAAATCTATACAGTAGCCCTTGTAACCCTTTGGAGCTGTCTCATCTTTGATAATAAATGGAGCTTGCTGTTGGATAAGAAATGCAAGATTATGATTAATATACAAGAATAAAACGTCCGCTTGACTTTAATTTAGGTTCGCAAGTAAATTTATTAAGCCGCAAGCAGATCTGCTCTACCTAGGCGAACAAATATCATATACATATATGTATATGTACAATGTATGTACGTATTCTAAACATTAAATGGGTAGCGGTAATTCAAATAGAGTCACGCGTTATTTTGCCAAACTGCACATATATGCATTATATATACGTATGTATGCACATATCTAGAAAGAAGAATCCACATGCACGGTTGCCGTTTTGGCCGAAATGTACCATTTATGGTACACTTTTTTCTGTTTGGTACGCAGGTATGCAACTTTCAGAATTGGTACAGTTTTTAATCAAAATGAGAAAATGATTACTTACCTCATATTTATACCTATTTAAAGTTCAAACCTTTAGGTGAAGCCAATGACCATATCAATCAGGCAAATCTGCTTTTACGGCAACACATTGTCTCACTCAGGTAATTGAAAAGGTATTGCTGTATAAGCAAATAGCCCTTTACGGGTTCCTTGACATTCATGCAAAATCCAAGGCCATGACAAGCCATGAAGATATTCCTAATGTAATAACTGCATGGAACATAAGCATGTTGAATCCAGAACTATAATAGCAGAACAAAGAGACGTCAGGCATGCGATCCTGGAAAAGCAAAGGATTTTACGTAAGCTACTCGTCTTCGTGGTGGGCTACAATGAAGACAACATTGCCTCTAGATTGCAGGGAGTCTGACAGGGGTCAACTGAAAGTCTTATCTCATAGCTAGGCTCTCAGAGGCATTGACGTTTTGGGCATTCAATACAGTCACAAAACCGATTACTAAGTACAGTCCAGGAGGCTAAAAGTTAAGCAGCGATCTGTCTGCGTAACCATTATATTTAGGAGCCATACGCACCTTCCCTACGGAAGCACTGTAATCATCACATACTATACTAATTGACAATGAGGCTTTCTGAAGCGGTTTGTATCTCAGCAACTTGATGAGCATAGGAAGCCGGACCTTCAAGGGTTCTTGATAGTTTTAAAACCAATCTGTGAGGATCTCTCGTTAAACTCACAGACAAACTGTTACCGAAAGTATCCTTCCAGTAGCCCTACAAGGTAATAATTTCTAAAGAGTAACTCATTTTCGTTGATGGTGTTTTCGACAAGGTAGGAGTACGAAAGCTACATATATGTATTTTTAAAATATTTGAATAATTAAATCTATAGCTTAAACCTATTTTGGTAATTTTTTTGCATTTTGGTACACGTTTTGGTACACAAAAAACTAGTAAGTGGCAACCGTGTCCACAAGCAGTAACTCTCAGCAAAGATTGTGAGCACATACATATGTACGTGCATACATATTTCTGTATGAGGGTGGTTCGCACAGACTGCTCAAAGCGATTCATTGTAGCGGCAGGAGGGTGGTTCGAAGATATTGCTTGCCATAATTTTATACATCCTGACCAGCTGAACCCTCGTGGTTCAGTATATCTTCATCGGATCTAGTAAGCCGTCCATCTGAACAGGCCGCTGACAAGTGTGTTTGATGAGATGTCCATCCGGCGTTTTCTGACCGCTGTTGTATTCCACTGTAACAACTCGAACGAGGCCATAACTGCCTGGATGGACAGCGGTTATACGTCCAATGCGCCAATGGGCAGGCGGCAAGTTTTCGTTGAGGATTAGCACAACATCATCACAGCGGAGATTGGGTTCTGAGCGTGTCCACTTATTCCGTGACTGCAAAGACATCAGATACTCGTGCTGCCAGCGATTCCAAAAATGTTCGTACATATGCTGAGAACGCCCTCAGTATTGAAGACGATTGTCTGGCACGTCAGGTATAACAGGCTCTGGTCGTGAAATCAGCGGTCGACCTACTAAAAAAACACCCGGCGTGATAGCTAGCCCGCCTTCTGGATCATCATGTAACGCAACAAGCGGTCGAAAGTTCAAGCATGCCTCAATACGTACTAAAAGCGTGCTGAGTTCGTTAAATTGCAAGGTCTGCCTACCTAGAACTCGATATAAATGTTTCTTCGCTTAACGAGCGGCAGCTTCCCAAAGTTCACCGTGATCGGGTGCAGATGGTGGGATAAATTGCCAACGCGTGCCTAACTTGGCTACGTGTTGCTGCGCGTACTTACTTACTCACGCATGTAAAATCTAAACTTCATGGCGAAGGTACTGAAGCATCTGCTGTATCCATCATGCATATAGACTTCATGGGCGTCCGCAACGAGTAGTTTCGTCAGCGGACCATTCTTCGGAAGAATCATCGAATATCGCTGGTCATATAGAAGTTGCGCAAATTCCAGGCATCCCCCTACCCGGAGGATTCGATCTTCATCCAGAAAGGGTATTCAAAGGGAGGAGCTTGCTTGATGAATGTACGCTGGAACGAGATTCGAGAGAATTAATTTCGGTAAGGAATACGTTACCTTGGGACTGTTTTATATGCATGCGAAGGGTCCAACGTAGTTTGTCTGCAGTCAACACATCGTTTCGATGACCCTGGAAGATTGGCCGAATTCTGCGAATGCGCACCATGATGTTCAATAGTCGACTCAATTGGCTGCACTTTTCCACTAGGGGTATTCGTTGATTGTCGTATGAAGTCATTATAAATGGTGTTTTCGACCCCACATCAAGTAGAATATGAGGCCCGCGACCTTCAGCCAGGACCACTTGTTCTTCTACTGTTGTCAGCTCGGGCATCGTTGTTACGCAGGTAGGTGTCTGACGAATACATGACGGCCCAGACCACCAAAGGGCATGTCTCTCCAGAACGGCTGGAGCCACTCCTCGGCTTGCAGAATCCGCACGATTCGATTCTGAGCGTATATGGTTCCAGCAGTTCACCTTGGAGTTTTCCTGAATGAACGCCACACAATTTGCAACAAATGGCTTTAATGTTGATGGTGGCTTGCGTATCCAGTGAAGGACGATAGCCGCGTCACTCCAAAGGGTATATTGTATATTCTCGAGATGTGAAATTTTACGAACATTTTCTAATGTAGCCACCAGGAGGTGAACTGGCCTCAGCTCTATTCGGGGTATGGTAATATGTTTTAACGGTGCGACCTTAGCTTTAGCTGCAACCAGGGCAACACGGACCTCTCCGCCCAAGGTTTCACTTCTCACGTAAATCACCGCAGGCTTTACTGCAAAATCCCTGCAGCGTCACAGTGCCAGTACGGTGCATGCCAAGTCAGCGGGGTATGCGAATTCGACCTACTTCGACTAGTCCATTTCGAAATATAATCCACCGTTCCTTCAAGTCAGCTGGCAGTGGGTGTCCCAACATATATTGGCCTTACACAGTTCTTCTATGAATATTTTCGCGGATACCACAATTAGAGCCAACATTCCAATCGGATCGTATAACCGCGTGACTTCGCTCAGCACGGAACGCTTAACAAGCGTTACTTGGTCTTGATCTAATCGCACCTTATACAACAGTTCGTCATGTATTGGGTCCCACTGTAGTCCTAAAACCTTAGTATGACACTAACCCAAATCCATTTCTGAGGTAGACACCGCGAAGCCATTAAGAGCCTTCAAGACTTCCGCGCTGTTGGAGTTCCACTCACATACCTCGAATTTGCCTTTAATCAGAATATCATACACATCGCGACAACGAGTCAATGCTTCGTTTGCATCATCTACGCTATCCAAGTAGTCATCTACGTAGAAATTGTGAGCGATACTATTTCGTGCCACAGCTGCCCGGCAAGCATCAGTAATTATTCCGTGGTTATCGATCGCACACTGTTTCAACGCACGAACAGCGTTAGATGGGCTGCAAGGCATCCCATAAGTAACAGTGCTCAGCTGATAGGTGCGAAGGGGATCGTTAGGAGACTCCTTCCAGAGAATCTGCTGCCAAACGCGATGTCTAAGGTCTACTTCAATTTGTCGAAACATCTTCTTGATGTCACCCGTAATCGCTACAGCGAATCGACAGAACCGTTGTAGAATGTCAACAATGTTGTCGTGGAGTTGATGACCGGCAAATTCTGTATCGTTCAGCGATACCCCGTTGCTCGATTTGGTCGAGGCGTTGAACAATACCCGAAACTTCGTCAGCACAACATGGTGAGGGATGAAGTAGCATTGTGACTCATCAATATCAGAATCCCCAATCGCTTGTATGTGAACCAGTGCCTGGTAATCTTGCATAAATTCCACATATTTCTCACGGAGCTGCTGATTGCTTGCCAACTTGCATTCGAACTGAAGAAATTGGCGGAGCGCTGCTAGAATTCCCAAGTGCCGGGGCGTCACGACGAAATGGAATTTGAAAACTATATTGCCCGTCTGGCCTCCGCGTGACTGTGTTCATGAAGATGCGTTCACACTCGTCCTCTGCAGGGATTCGTATCTCTGAGGATGCTTCTTCCTCCTCCCAAACCTTCTGCAACAAAACATCTAGCCGTTGTTCATCGCATTTATTAGCTGTATACATATGCACGCGCGGTTGTGTTCTGAGTATTGGTCGTTGTCTGACCGAACACGATCCAACCGAGGCGAGTCTGCAGCGCGCACGGCTGGTTTGTATTACCCGCAACTATCCCGTCCTGGATAATTGCGCTCCAAGTATCAGCACCTAGAAGCAGATCTATACATCCAGATGTTCCAAATGTGGGATCGGCAAGTCTAACCCTTTTATATGGTTCCAAGAACTGGCATCAATTGACGTTAACGGCGTGGTAGACGTAATTGTACGCAAGATGTATACATCTAAATTGATCTCCAGGTCTTCGTTGACCGTAGAATGCAACCTTATGGTAGCTATGCCCTTGGTGTAAGCTGACGGAGCTTTTCAATGCCCTCCACCAGCACCTCGCAGCGTCGCCTACGTAAATTCAGCTTCTTAAACATTGACTCAGTTGCAAGACTAACCTGAGATCCCATATCACACAGCGTCCGACAGTAATGTCGATTCCCATGGTAATCAGTTAGCCGTACATTGGCTGTAGCGAGCAACACGACGCGATCCCCATGGATGAGGAATGACTGAGCCTTGTCGGTTAATCATTGACTCCGTGGCAATGAATGAGGGGGTGTGTTAGCGGGAGCTGTCACTTTCGCTGGAGGGATTGCTGGTCCTTCTGCAGGTGAAGTAATACCAGTAGTATTCGTAGTCCCTTTATCTCCATCGCGGCAAAGTAGGGTGTTGTGCTTGCGTTGACACATGGTGCATAGTCCTGAGGGGCAGTCAGTAGACCCGTGCCCTAGTTGCAAGCAGTTAAAGCAAAGTCCTATTGGTTTACTGTCACCTAACGGTCATGTACTGATACATTGCGAAAACGTTGACATTTGTTCAATCGATGGGTCTGTTGGCAACATTGGCAAGTTAATGCTGTTGGTTTGCCCAAATGAATCTTCGCTGAACGTTGGGGAGTGCGACGAGATATTACTGTATCATCACGAATGTTAGCTGTGATAGGCATATTCTTCGCACGGCGCTTCAAAAACAACAGTAGGTCCCCAAGCTTTGGAATCTCGGTAGTGCGCAAACTCATACCCCACTCATTCTTGGTAGCATCCGGCAGTTTCGGTAACAGAACCGGAACCACGATAGCGTCCCACTGATGGACTGGCAATTTCATGACGGACAGAGCTCGGTAACTATTGCTCAAACAATCAATAATATCACGCAAGATCTTTGATGTGTCAGCTGGATTGTTAGGCAAGTCCAATATGCGCTGTATGTGAACTTGCGGCAGTAACATAGGGTTATCATAACGGCGTTTAAGCGTTAAGTGTTAAGTGTACAGTCTGCCAATCATGGGAACCTTTTAAGCCTTTACGTATGGGCGCAACTTACCGAGTTTGTATGTCGGATCGAGGTCACTACGGTCATCCACAAGGCTCTCGTACATGTCCTTAAACACCAGCCAATTCGAAAGTTGGCCATCAAATTCTGGTATGAAAATGAGTTCTAACCTCAAATCGCATGTGCGATGATGGGTAGAAGCTACTTCGGAACTCGCTCGGGTCTCAGATGAGAACGCATTCGGCGCAGGCGAAGACAAGCCTTTGTGAACATCTCCTCCGTCTCTGCGAACAGCTCATCATGCGCTTGTACCTCAGTAGGCAATTATGCGGCAACGAGGTTATAGTGGTGTTCCACAAAACGGTCCCAATATTGCTGCAGTATTTGACTAGTGTAGTCCACTTCCACCAGGTCAGGTGAAAAATCTGCCGCCTGCACCGTACCAAGAACACGCGCGATGGATGCTCGAGCAGATGTTCGAATATTTAAAGATGACATGATAAAAATGTAAACTTCCTCACAGGAGGCACCAGATTTTATGTACAAGAATATAACGTCCGGTTGACTTCAATTTAGGTTCGCAAGTAAAATTACTAAGCCGTAAGCAGATCTGCTCTACCTAGGTGAGCAAATATCATATACATATATATGTACAATGTATGTACGTATTCTAAACATTAAATGGGTAGCGGTTATTTAAATAGAATCACGCGTTATTTTGCCAAACTGCACATAGTATATGCATTATACATATCTAGAAAGAAGAATCCACAAGTAGTAACTCTCAGCAAAGGTTGTGAGTACATATGTACGTGCATACATATGTATTTATGTATGAGGGTGGTTCACAAAGACTGCTCAAAGCGATTCGTTATAGCGGCAGGAGGGTGGTTCCAAGATATCGCTTGCCACAATTTCATACAATTAAAAATGTCAAACATTTTCTTGTTGTTGTTGTTGTTGTAGTACTTAATCGAATCTTACCTAAATCAGTGTGCTCATTAAGTAGGTAGATATTGGCTTCAGGCTCCTCCAAAGGCAGGCTCAAGAAACGCGCTGTTCCTTGGTAGGTTGAAGGGGACATATGAAGAGGTGGTTAGCATCGAGAGAGCCAATTTTAAAAGCTTTCATTTTACTTACTCAAATTTCTAATAAATTTTTAACTAACTTCCCGACAAGCTGGACACTTGAAACTTTGAGCATAGTTCCAAACACAATAACAAGGCAATTTAAAATATAAATTGGTTCCATAAATAACCTATGTAAGTGGGCGAATCACAGTAAAAGTTATGGCAAAAAGAGCGTAATTTGCCAAAGAACGTAAAAATTGCTCCAAGTTCTTTAATTCCGGAAATTAGTTTCAACCATGATATAAAAAAAGAAGGTGGTTTCAATTGAAATTAATGAATTTTTTATGGATTAAAAACTAATAACACGCAAGGTAAATTTACTTATTTCATTGTATTAGCAGAGCTGTTAATAAGTGTGTATTGATTTAAAATACCTTAAAGTACCCCAGCCAGCAAGAAAACGTACATTTACGAACATTATGTTTTACGAGGGATTCTCGATCGGCGAAAAGTTAGAGAAAGGCTCGTGTACGATAAAACAAAAAAAAAAATAAAGAAAGAGGGTTGTAGGAATTTGTTGTACAAGAAAATTATTCTTGAACCACAATATTTTATAATATATAATATTCGCATACGAATGCTTTTTCGATTCGTTTACGACTGTTCATAGCCGCTATTCAAGCGAAAAAGTACTCGAAAACGAATCGTAAACGGCTATCATAAACGACTTTTTAGTCGGTTTTTCTTCGAGAAAATATCCTGTTACGAGGTCGTTCACGATGATTTTGCTGGCTGGGACCTTACCGCAAAAAAATTTGGCATTATCTGCAGTGTTACATGAAGTATTATTATATCTGAAAGAAATTTAGACATTAGGATGTTGCTTTAATTAGGATCCTTTTCAGTGCAAATATGAACAATGGAATGGTTAAAAAGTAGCTTACCTTCAATGAAAGCACCATTAAAGCATAAACTTATTTGTGATAACGCATGATATAGTCATGTAGAGGGAGGTAAAAAAATTTCCTAATTCTTAGGCCCTTCGTACATAAGGCTACGCAAATCTTCGATACCCGACGTTTTTAGTCTCTAACAGCGCTCTTACATGATATGTTTTTGCATATGTAAATGCTACTTTTTGTATCTACTCGTATGTACCATATATTAGAACGCACCAGAAAAGTAGCATTTTCATGTGCAAATACATATCGTGTAAGAGCACTATAAGCGATTACGCATTACAAATTCATAGAGTTTCGTACGCAAGCACACGTCGACGACATTTTGTTCATTTGTCGCCGATACCAGTTGCGTGTAGGGACACGATATCGAACAGAAAGTATCGACATGGTACTCATTTAAAGTATCGCTATAAAAATATCGGGTACCCATTAATATCGGAATAAAAAGACTCGATATTCCAAATATCGATACCAAAATCCAAAAAATTTATCTAAAAATAGGTCTCGTATATAGGCCGCTGTAGTGTAATGGTTAGCAGTGCGCAAAGCTTGAAAATGAAAAACAGCTTCCCATTAAAACAAAATCGCCGTTCAGAGTCGACATAAAACTGTAGGGGCCCCTTTTGTGCCACAACATCAGAGCGCGCGCGCGACAAATCGGAGGAGAATCTCGGTCAAACACTAACATATTGTGTAACAGCACGTAGAGATTGATGCGTTGACTTAAAACACCGAGGTCGCGGGGTCAAATTCCACCATATGCAATCCTGACTATATTACAAATTTCTGCTCTTTAAAGCCCAATTTATATCGGGAAAAATTGTTAATAACATTATCTTTGTAATGTGAGTTTATGATATCGGTATCGCATGCCAAAAGTATCGATATGGTATCGTATCGTATCGAAATTCGTGTCCCTAGTTGCGTGCTACCTGCCGGACGGGATCGTCGCTACGTTGCCGCGAGAGATCGCGAGTTTCGAGATTTCACTTGAGGACAAATAAAAACTCGAGTCTTCGTGTGTACGCTACAAGATGCTCCCGATGTAGGTATAGAGCATTTGTATAGAAGATTTGCGTAGCCTTGTGTACGAAGGGCTTTAGAGCTCCTTGT